AAATTTCCTTGCTTTTTTTTACACAAAGTAGCTTAAATTACGAAACGTATTAGTTCAAAATACCTTAAATGTCAGAATACAAGAAAGGAGGTTAAGTTCAGCTTTATTAAAATTACACACATTTTAAAAATCTCATAAAATCGCTTTCGTTTTCACAACGGACACACAGAAGTCAAAAGACTACTATGTATAATATATGTGTGTGGATGTTTTTAAAATGGCTTTTGGAACTTCAAGTTTTGGCTTTCATAAAACACACAAACTCAACTTTATTGTTATTAACCATGCAAGCAATAAATTCAATAATATTTCTAACGTTTTTTATTTTAAAATGCGAATTGTAACCAAATATAAAGATAATCGAGTTTATTTTATCATTTTATTTGAATTTACACTACAGAAGGATATAAGAGTATTTTTCTTTTCAAACCGCTTTTTAGATTTTTTTCTTTTTTTTTGTGTGAAAGCTAAACTATATGAACTCTCTTTGCCAATTTGCACTTTTGAACATACTTAGAGTGCCGACAATTCTTATATTGATTAAAACCCCGAAAGCCTAATCCTGAAAGTGTAGCGGTCTTGTAAAATGTCTTCAAAATAGAAAATATACATAAAAGCATAAAAAAAATGTTTCCTAATTATTTAAACGCGTTTTTCACTTTAACCGTAGTTTAGTATAACAGTTTTGCATTGGTAAATATATAAAAGGCACATGCATATGTAATGCGATACATACATACAAGTATGTAAGGCAATTCAAATCATAAGATGCAAATTAGAATAATTAAGGCATTTATTTCCCAATTACGTTTTGTTCTTTATTCCTAAGCATTTACACTGGCGGTTTCAAATTAAAAAGCGTAGAACAAAATATAAAACATTGGACTTTTCGGGCAACTGTTGTTCAGATTATTTTTGTAGCATTCGTATGTAAAAGACAAGCGAATTAATAATAAAATTGCAATAATATTAGACTAAAAATTAAGAAAAAAAAATTTATATACAAGTTAATTGGCAACCGAAGTGTTGTGAAGTTATGCGGATACTATGTTTGCCTCTACAAGCCAATAACAAAGCTACATTAGTACTTACATACACGTATAAAGGCAAATAGCATTAGCCGGCCTTGCTCTTGCACTGGGCAGCCGTAGTTATTATAGGATGCGCTCTTACTTGATTTACGCGAATTTATATAGAATTTATTTATTATTTTACATCTTCTAACATCTAAATAAGCTAATAAAAAAATTTTGCAATAAAACACGCGACATTTCCGGCGGAACCGTATTAGAAATGAAACAGTGTTAGGGTTGATCAGCGTGCATTACGCGGTGGCCATACTCTTGTAAAATAAATTGAAAAAAAAAAACCTGAATAAAAATATTTTAATTTCATAAATTATTATGTTTTTTAATAATTATTATATTCAAAGATTATGGCATAATGTGCTTAAATATATATTAACTTTGTAATTTGGCCCATTTTTTTTTTATATTAATATCGTAGCAAAGAGTTTTTGTACCGTTTATTGTGTAATATAAAGTAAGAAATCAAAATCAGACATGATGCTGTTTTGCGTGAGATTGTGCCTGCGACCAATAAGAATACTTACAAAAGAGATTGCATAACTAGAAATAATAGAAAAATAAAAGAAAACATAAAGTTAAAGTTTGAAGAGTCATGCGTAAGGCGTTAGCAAAAACTAGATGTTGTTATTAAAACAAAGTGTAATAAGAAATTAATGAAAGAAAAATAATTAATGAAAAATTTTTAAAGTTATTGATTGTTTTAATCAAAGAAAATAGTAATTCAAAAACCAAAACAATGTGCATGTAGTGAAACGCTCTGTATGTGTATTAGGCGAGGAGATCAAGTCAAGATTTAATACCTAAATGGTTTTATTAAGTGTTGAATTAAAAGCTTTAAAATATTGAAATTGTAATAAATTGAAAAAATGAAATCAGAAAATAATTGGCGAACACTTTTTTAAATTGAATTGAAATGTTGTTACCTTGTATTTTGTGTAATTTTATATTAGTAACGCATGTTTAAGAAGCCAACAGGATTCAAAATCAACGTTCAAATCGTTAACGCCAAAGTAGAAAATAAACTGGCGGAAAATTTGTCAATGTTTTGCTCAATTACCAAGTGATGTTCGGCATAACTAAAGTTAGATAATGTACGTTAGAGTGGTTCACAAATATACATACTTACAAATTTACTTTTTTTTGAATTTCTTATGCCGCCACCGGAAAAACATAAGAAAAGTACTCAGTTTTTAAATCGACGCGACTTAGTTTCAAAAAGTTAATGTTCAAATATTTTTGGACCACCCTAATGTACTATCGAATATTGTGCAAAACTTGGAGTATGTACATACATATAAATATAATTACTGCTAAAAAGTGGTTATGTAAAAAAAAGCAGAAAATCCAAACTCTGTGTAGTTTGTATTGTTAAATAAATTAAAAAAGAAACATTTTTGTAAACAAACAGAATTAAAAATGTCGGAACTTTCACAACTATTGTAGAGCAGAACAATAAGAAAAATGTACGCCGATTAACTTTGTAATTCGAAGGCATTGTTCATGTGAAATGTAAAATTATAACTCAAACAAGGAAAACTCTAAACTAGTATTAATTATGAACTATTGTAATAACAGTACATTTCAATAGCCGAACAAAAAGATAAAATAAAAAACAAAAACAAGTAATTAAACAAATGACAAACGGACACATACAAAAATAATTCTAAATGTTAACTGTTGCTAAATGACTAAATTAAGTATAATTATAGAAACAACAACAACAACAACAACAACAAAACTAAACACTTAAAAATCAAATTAAAAAAATAATGCTGCGTATTAAAATGGAGATTATACATATAAAAATATATATTAATAATAAATGTTAAAGTATAAAATTGAAATTAAGAAAAAAATAAAGAAGGTCACCTGCGTGTAGAATCAGTAATAAAAAAGAATTATTTGTAACTGATTTAATTACAAAATAATACAAACAAAATTCCAGCGTTTTTATTTATATGTGTGGTTGGATGAACTGGAGGAACGGTATTATTGATTATTGATTTAAAGCAGTAAGTAAAATTTTTGCAAAATATTCCACATGGAAAGCAATTACCTCAGTGAAATTGGAAAAACCACGCGGCCATATGTGTATTAGGTACACCGGGACCACTAGCTTTCTCCATGTATCCTTTCCTAAAATCTTTCTCACCCCTGCGGGTCTCATACTTAATTCCGTTTTTGTCTACATGTTTGTTTGTATCAAATTATTTTATTTTACACGAATAAAACATTAAAATATTTTCGTAAAATTAATAATTTCTCATGCCCTAAAGCACTTAATACCCCTTTTGGTAACAGTTAGTTTATCTTCTTCTTCACTTGCAACTACTCCGACGAGCTGAGTTGTCCATATACGAGTACGTACGTATGTTTAGTTACAAACAAACTGCAATAACGATACTGATTTTTCTAGATTTATATGATTTTATTTAGTAAGTTTTTTTTTTTTTTGATAGCATGAATATTTCAAATTCTCCATGCAACCCTGTTTTGAACCACTTTACTGAACCAGCCCAATTGTGAATTCGCCGCGAATAACAAAGCAAGGAAAATTGAAAAAAACAAAAATTGAGCATTCAAAAAATAACGCGTGAAAACGAAACAAATTCCAATAGAAACAAATGGCGAAATGGAATTAAAACAGTTAGCTATTTGCGCCAAAATGTTCTTCAAATTCTCGTACCAAATGTGCGAGAAGTAAGGTATTAACAAATAAGTAATCATACTTAAAATATACCCTAGACTACTTAAAGCAACTAATATTTAGTTATTAAACAAAGAAAAAAGCGATGTAGAAGTATAAAACAGATGCACACGTAATTATTACGCAGCATTTAAAAAATGGGAACAAATTAGAAAATGACACAACTGGAAGCGTGTTTGAAAACAAAACGAAAATGAGCACGTATTACATTCTCTGTTAAGTAAAGGAGACATATTTCTGAGAGCTTATGTTATAGGTTCTCTACTTAGAGCAAGGAGAAGAGCTGCCACACCAATAAATTTTATTTAAATACACTATGTATACTGAGAATTTATGAGATGCGGAGTCAATTTGTGTCAGTTGTAATGACATTAAAATTATTATTAAAAAACTAAGGCTAATATGGATCATAACATGGCAGCCGAGGAAGCCGAGTGGTTAGCACTGCGTACAGCCATTCGCAAGGCTCGGGTTCAAATACTGGTGCCGTAATAACATCAAAAAAATTTAAGAAAATTTATTTAAATAGAAAATTAAGCTAAATTTTCGAATTGTGGTCGCCTGTCGGCAGCGAATATCAACCCCACTGACATGAAATAAAGACTCGCCATAAAAAACCATCAGTCGTTCGAAGGCGGCTTGGTATAAACTATAGGTCCCTCCATTCGTTGGAAAGAACATCAATACGCGAAACCACAAATTGGAGGAGGAGGTAGGGCGAAAATCACTTCAACGGTTACAAAGCGCTAATTATAATTGTATATTTTATTATCATGGATCAAAATTTACGTGCGTCTGCCGTACATTTGTAAATTATGTACGAAGTCATTTAAAACTAATTTAAATGGCTGCTCTTATGTCTACGATTTAAAATCAGCCGTAAGCCATTTTTATGTCACATTTCAGGCCTTTTGGGACTATTCACTTCCTTCATGTAGCCTTATGTGACCTTTTTTACCCCCCTCCCATTCCAATTGGTCATGGTTGTGCAACAAACCCACTATTTATTAACAAATATAGTATTTTAAATTCATAATAATTGTATTTTATTTTCATTATATAAAAGTAATTTTCTCATATAGCAAATGAGATTAATAAATATTTAGTAAGACTTAATCAATAATTAAATAATAAACACAATCTAAAAACATAAAACTACATGGATTTTCTCCTTTCAACTTCCCCAGTTACGTAACTGCAACGTGGCATTTAAAGTAATCCTTACAAACTCGTACCCGAGATACGTGGTTTAGGGACGCTCTCTTATTGAGGATAAAAATTTAGGAGTTTCAATTAGAAATAGTAAATTAGAATGATTTGAAAAATATGTGGCAACCATATTTGCGGCGACTTAGTTGCGAACATACGAAGCGACGAAAAAGCAAATCAAAAGAAGCAGCATCAGAGTAGTGGCAAAGCGTGGAAAAGTGCAGATAAGTTTCAAGTTTATATATCCGTAGGAAATATTTTGTTAAATCTAAAAAATATTTTCCTAAGAGAGCTTTTTAAGCACCAGCGAAAGTCTGTAGCTATCAGTACTTAGGTGCTAATCCTCATTTTTATTTGGATTTCGAATATTGTTTTGCTGTACAGCGTAAAGGCGGTGATTCTCACATACAGGTAAGCAAAGTTGTGTGTACGTAAAGTAAAAGAAGTGAAATATTACGTTAACGCAAAATTTGCAATAGAACACAGCGCGTATAGGCGAAAGCAATAGAGGCGACGGCGACGACGACGACGACCAAAAAACAGGAGGAAAGGCTAGAAAGACGTATCAAAACTGCTGCACCAACAACAGCGACGGCTACAGTAACAGCAATAGCAACAGCGGTTGACTACTGCTTTTGGTGCTTCTTTTTTTGCATTTTGTTTTATTGGCGCATACACCCGTCCGTCTTGACAGTTAACGCAGCAGCGTGTGTGTGGGGGAGAAAACAACTATAGGAAAGCAGCAGCAGCAGCAGCAAAGGAGCACAACATTCAGATTTTCAAGTCGAATGTACGGTGTGACAGTGTTTAACATTGAAAAGTTTTATTTGTTAAATGAGGAAAAATTAGTAAATTGAGCAAGAAAAAGTTGTAATTGAAAATTCAACGCTTTACGGAAACGATAAAGTCAAGTGTGAAATTGTTCTCAGCTTAAAGGAGCTGAAATTGCAACAGCAGCTGAGAATTACAAGTGAAAAAGTAAGACGAGTGCACTAAAAAAAGAAAAAATGGAAAAGAGAATAGAACTGGAAAGACGCGCACGTAAAGCGAATCAGGTAAGCTTTTCAATTTTATTAATTAATCATATGTACGTATTATATGGTATTTGAAATAATTCACGCGCTAATTTTTGTCTATAGTTTTTGTTGTTGGTTTATTCATTTCCAACCTTATATTTTGTTTTGGCAAAATAGCACAAAGTTCCTAAAACATGAAAATATACATCCAAACATATGTACATATATTTGGTTTTGCCGCCCTCCTGTTTCAGCCACGCTTGGCATCCCCACATTTCTAAGACTACTTGCAGGTTGTCGAAAGGTTAGATATGTGCTACAAATCGCTTAACAGAGGCACAGGGTGTTTAGATATTTTTTTTAAATAAAATCGCGAGCAAGTTTACTTAGAATAAAATTAATTTGTCTCAGAAATTAATCTGCCATTAGTGCACATACAAATAAACACGCGTGTAGAACCGTAAACGCATACACGTGTAACCATACAAACACGTACGTACAAATACAGGGCGAACAGTGTGTAGGCATATGGTGAATATTACCTTCTTCGCAGTAACAACGCAGTTGGCTAATTGAGGGTTGCCAATGTACTCTTATAGACAGAAAAATACTGCTTGTGGTTCTATAATTTCTCGAATGGAATGACTTTTTAAGCTTTTATATATGTATATTATGAAAATATTACTCCAGTACATATATAAATATGAGCATGCATTTATGAGATATTAAAGCGATAAAATCACTTTTACACTCATATGATTTAAAAGTGAAGTTGAAGTTGTAACTACTGCATCAGTAGTTGGCTTTCTTTCTTGAAGCAATCATTTGTTCGAATTTTTCCCAATTAGTATATACAAATGTATTCGTTTGTAGACAATAAAGGATGCTCAATCCAAAATATGTGTACAAAAACTTACAGGTAAATACATACATATTATGTATAAATAAGGGTTTCTTCTAAGAACAACAGAATTTAATGATACTAGGAAAATCGAGCATTTGAACGATAATTCGAACGGAAAGCACAGCACGATACTTAGATCTGGATATTTCAACAGATTAAGCTACGTATTCAGACAGCCTCGGCTTTGCATATTTTCACATCATATTAACGTTACGTAGTATAAACGCAATGACATTTCCACAACTTTGATGTGAGATTTTTTTTTAAATTTTAGTGGCACAACAAAGCGAATCCTTCTCTATGTACATATACAAATCAATTTGAATCTTTTTCGTCATAATTCTCACTGGTATCCACCAGCACATTCCAGCGCAAACATGCAGAGTTTTTCTGGGATGTGCCCATTGATAGAATATCTTAGACGTATCACATATGCCAGGCGTTATTATTTATCTAACACCATCTAGACAAATTTAAAATATGTGTGCCAGGAAAATTAAGATTTAACTCCAAAGCAATATTTAAATTATGTGGTTGCTTCTATTTGAGGGAACGGAAGCAACAACTTTCAAATGTTATCATATATAGTACTGTACATTGTTGCTGTTGATATGGCGGCATGCGACTTCCGTTGTACTGTTAACTTCATTTAATGTAGTTGTTGATAGAGCCACGATGACAAAAAAAAAACTATCATTCTTAGGGTTGGAGCGCTTGACATTTCTTTTTGAATATAAATATGTACATCTATATGTATATCCTGCGTTTATATATTTTGCTAGTTGTGTGTATCTCGCAAACTTCTTTCTTTCATCTACGCAATTCGCTGTGTATTCCATATTCGCTGCCATCTTGGCTTTTCCCATTGATGGAATTACATAAACAATTTGTATTTGAGTTTCCAAATAATTATGGCAATTTTGTATCACCTTCATGAGATTGGATTATGCTATCAAACAATTCATTGCATTTATTATAAATCACATCTAGTTTATTTGATTAAATTTTTGGAAAATCGGCTAGTTTTTCTGATAATCGATTTTCCTTGTATCTTCTCCCCATTGTCTTTGTTTCTTTTATTCTGCGTTCACACACTCACAACGCGACGCACTATAGGCGGTCGGTCGGTCGGTCATTTATGAACGCTTGCTCGAGTGCAACTATTTTCATCTTTGTTGCGCCCGCTGCATTGGGGCTATTTGGGGCAAAGTTAGTTATAACATTCGCTTTCGCCATTCCTCATTCAAATTCAATTCAACGACATTCGCAACATTGCGCTAGTGTGCTGAATACAACTCTGAATAGAATGAGGAACATCAATTGTTCTTTCCAGTTTTCTGCAGTTTTTACAGAAATGTTAATGGAACAGAGGTATAGAAACGCAGCTGTACAATATAAATGTTTGTAACGCGCTTTTTTCAAACAGTTTTTTTTTTTTTTTTTTTATTTGCTACGACTCACTATTTTAAGAAATAAACATAGCATAACGATTCTGTTGTTAACATATGTATGTATGTATGTTAATAGCAGTGTTGAGTCAAACAAATTATTAACACTTTTTTATTCCCTTAAGGTAGCCGAGTGGTTAGTATCGCGTACTACCATTCGGAAGGTTCGGGTTCAGGTCCCCGGGCGACCAACATCTAAAAGTTATTGAAAATTAATTTAAATAAAAAAATACATTTATCGCCATCGACAATTATTATTAACACTTGAATGCATCGGAAGTTTAGTAGTAAAAAATGAAAGGAAAATTTAGATTTCTATAATTATTTCCTTTAGATTTCAAGACATTATATACCTTTCATACATAAATTAAATGTATTTTTCATTTGCAGATCACAGAATTGAATCTGGATAACTGCCGGAGTACAAGTATAGTGGGCCTTACAGATGAGTATACTGCGCTGGAATCGCTGAGTTTAATTAATGTTGGCTTAACTACACTAAAAGGTTTCCCCAAGTTGCCCAATCTGAAGAAACTCGAGCTCTCAGATAACAGGTAAGCGCAAATCCCAGCCATATATCGATTTTGGAGAATAGAATTGAGGTAAACCGCTATTTTTTTTTTTATTGTAATTTAAAGAATATCAAATGGCCTCAATTATTTGACCACAAGCCCCAAATTACAATATCTCAACCTGTCGGGCAATAAAATTAAGGATCTGGAAACACTAAAACCACTGGAGGAGTTCAAACATCTAGCTGTTTTGGATTTGTTCAATAATGAAGCAACACAAATTGAGAATTATCGTGAGAAAATTTTCGAAATGTTGAAATCTTTGAAATTCCTCGATGGGTAAATTGAAAATTCTTAGAAAAGCTTGTGTCCAAATTACTTAAGACTTCTTTGATGTTTCAGTTTCGATTCGAATGATGTGGAAGCACCGTCGGAAGATGATGATGATGAGGTTAATGGCAACGATGGCGAGGATGACGGTGAAGAAGAGGGTGAGTTGTAAACTTGTATTTAATAAGAATCAGAAGGCATGATATGAAAAAACTGATATTTTCCTGCGTCCCAACGTTTAAAAGTTAGACTTTGCTAACATACATATGTGCATATGTAGAAAAATCTCGCTCTTTCGAATATGATTGCACTAGAAATAAAACGACAGATTATTTTTAAAAACTCATTTCACACATATACACATATTTTTGAATCACGTTCGTAAGCCCAGAAAAACTCATACCAACTACCAACATTTTCAGACAAACAAAATGCATTTTGTTTAAATGGTATTGAAATTGATTTGGATGAGTTGGAAGAGTTTGAGCAACGTGTGAAGGCAAAGAAACAGCTGCAGGGCAAGGCAGCTTCAAAAATTCAAAAGCCTGTTGACGAAGTTGATGACTTAGAAGAGTTGTTGAAGGAAATTAAATTGAAAGAGGCAACGTCAAATTCTAATTACGATAAGCCACCACCAGATTCACCATTGGTTAAACCATCAACAGATGGGCGTGTCTGCAGCAATACAGACGCTGAAGCAGTGCTTGCTTCTCCCCAAATGCCTTTTGCTCTTTTCCTATATTGGTTTTTAGCGATTCTAAATCTGGCAAATGCCACTTTTTGTAAGCATTTGTATACCGTATCGACCATATTTTTATTAATTAGCGCAAACTTTGCTTACTTAATTGCAGATTCCTGTGATGAGGAAGATTACGCCAGCACTTCTTATGTCTCCACATCTGATGTCTCCTTATCGGAGGTGAGTACAACTGATCGAATACTATATCGGTGTGTTTCGGATTTTAATTAGAATAATTTATGTTGATCTGTTGCAGGTGTACAATGAAGATCTGGAAGAAGACAACTCTGAATGGGACGAAGAGAATGCTGTCGAAGATGACGATGAAGACACCGATGAGGATGACAGTGATGGCGATGGTGATGGGGAAGCAAATGCATCGGCTAAGGGCACTGCAGGCAAAGAAAAATCAGCATCCAACTCCGCCGGCGCTAAAGCTGAAACCGCCTCGGGGGAACCTGCCGGTAAATGCATAAGTAGTATAAATGACTAGAGAAGATACCATTTTCATTTTTCTCTTCTTGGTACTAATCAATATTCTTTGCATACAATTTTACAGAGGAGGATGAACCGCAGGCTCGAGGAAAGAAAAGAAAGCATGACGGTTAAAAAGTGCTTTATTAGAGAACGCATCATCGTAGCATTTGTTTACAAAACTCCAATTAACGTTTTTCTACAATTTTAATTTAACAACAAAAAGAAAAGTAAAGATGTAACAGAAACCACAAAATGTCTGTATCAGTTTATACATTAATGGGAAGCGCAAAGAAAAAACAGCTAAATACAATATTTATTAGATCAAGAAATACAATAAATATTGTAAACACAGCAGTTAATATTATTACAAATACCATAGACTTTCGAAGCAAAAAATAGCAGCAATCACATACACACACCACAAAACTATAACAGGATTTAAAAAACCATATTTATAGATTTATAGATATTGGTGGCGCGAAAAATAAGTAGGTATAAAAGAGAGTGGAAATGAAAGTCAAGCGATTATTTCAACTGCCTTGTAAACCAAGCACATACATCTAATAAATAGCAAGGACTTGGAGAAGAATAGAGTTTAAAGTAGAGAAGGGCATAATAGTTGTAATAAAAAAGATATAATAATAGTGGTCATTTTTAAGCATGTGAAGCAGTAATAGAAAGCGAAGCAAATCAACGATGGCATTAAAAGGGAAATTTTATGAATTGCAACTTGTAACACCTCCAGAAACACCAACAATAATAATCACATTGCAAAAACTATAAATCCTAACAATTTTTACAAGAAGTTGTGCCCAATAGATAAGGACAATAGAAATTTTGCATTGAATAAAGCGTTTATTTGGCAAAGTGTTGAGTGAAATTGGGCAACAAATACACGAATCAAAAGGCAAAAGCAAAAAAAAAAAAGAAATATATAGAACCGGACAACACAACAACAGTCGCCGGTGTATTATTAAAAAAATTGTTTATTGTTTAGTAGCATTAATTAGTTACTTATACAGTAAGTTTATTAATAATTACACATATACAAGAAAATCAACAAGAGGGGAGACGTGGAGACTACAGCTTCCTAATATGATTTGTTCTCCGTGTTTTTTTTTTTTATTATTTTCATTTTAGTTTTCATGTGCAAATTAAAGTACAATTACACACATACATACATACTTACAGGTAGAAAAAAATGTTATTTTCGCAATGTTAAACATTTATATTTTTGTTTGCTTACAACGTGTCGCACCTACACATCAAAATAAATTATGCTGCTGGAATTATTAATATTTATACATATACTATGATATTGTAAAGCTTAATGTAAATTAATTTGTTTGGTATATTTAAAATACATTTACAAAAATAAAATCCGTAATTTTCATTACTAACTCTTTGCACTAAAATTAGTATTTTTGCATTAATTTATGCCGTAATCTGTTTACACATATGTTTTTTCCAGCTCCATTCCTACCTGTAGCCTCTATATTATATACATAAAGAAATACATATATTTTAGAAAATACAGCCAACGTCGAAATGAAACATATACAAACACTAACTTTTATTCTAAGACATTTTCATATTGCAATGAAAGAATTTTTCGACATTGGACAAAAACAAAAACTGTATTATTTGGCCGAAATAAAAGAACGAAAAAATAAAGTCATTTTAAAAAGGTTCTTTTACTTGGAAAGTGGGGTTTGGGTGATGATGTTTTTTAACAGTTGAAATCAGAAAAATGTTTAGTCAATATGAAATAACTAAAAATATTCATTTGGATCCAAATCAATAGAAATAATTATGTTAAGTAATTTTGTTTACTAAATCTTTTGGACTTGAATGTTTATATGCCCTTTCAAATTTTATGGGATTTTCAAAATGCTTAGAAAATTGTTGATTGAAATCTTATTAGCAATGGTTTCAAACCAAATGCGTCAGGTTTCGTTGCTGTCAGAAACTAATTTGAGTCTCCATCAATAACCGTATATCGCCCCGAAATCTCGTAAGCGCACTTCAACGCTTTCTGCCAGTATGTAAACAGATTTTTATCACATATATATTCATGCGTCAGTTTTGTATAACACTTTGGCAGCTGTCAAAAATTTTAATTTTTTTGCTCTTTCAACTATGTGGCAGCTTTCGTTTTTTTAAATTCTCCACTGCTTTTGACATTTCTACAAAAGCTTATCAAAGTGACAGCCACAGAAATTCTTATTGGAATTTTAGTTCACCGCTCGAAACGAATTCATTCACTTGTTTGTTGTCTTGCATTCGCATACCCGCTCGCGAATTTTCACGCCGCAAATTCTACAATTTCATTTCTTCTGTTTTGTTAATAAGCTTTTGTTGTGTGTGGTGGTGCAGTTGCTTGAAAAGCAGGATTTTTTATTTGGCTAAAAATAAAAGTTGTATGAAATATGAAAAAATAGAAACAAACAACAATAGCAAACAAACGGAAAAGTCTTACGATTGCCCTTTTTTTATTAAATAATATTTATAAAGGTATTTTTTTGGTGGGCGTGTGTATTGCAATTGCCAATTTACGAAAAAATAAACAACAAATAATAAGTTTCAATATTATAAAACAAACGACAAGCAACAATAGTGTTAAAATTTACGGCAATCTTTATCACTTGCAGCGCTTCTACCAATTCTACTTTGTGTTATTGGCAGATATTTAAGTGAAATATTGCATTCGCTTGGAGAAATTCTTAAATAGAAATTTTGCGAACAACCTAAGACAGTGAGCATTAATTATTCAATTGTGAGTGCACTAGTTTATGGGCGAGAATAAAGGAATAATGTTGGCGAAATCTGTACAAAAACACGCTGGACGTGCCAAGGAAAAGGTGAGTACTATTATTGAACTCCCACCGGCAACTTCAGTGGCATTAGCTATGTATGTCCTGCGGGATTTACAAGAGAAAAAAAAGTAAATAGAAAAAAGTTCACCTACGTTCTTCAGAACATGTATGTGTGTGTATTTGATGTTAACAATTGATATAAATAAATTCGAAATGTTGCAATGTGGCATACTTATGCTTCCAGTGGCACATCCTTGACCTGCCGCATCAAATTTCAAGTTTCCATTAAATTTGTTTGCTATATACACATAAATTGAGTTTTTAATAGTTTTTAGAATATTGTACATAGACATACTAAGAAATTTCCTCGTTAGGTAAGTAAATTTTGAAAAGCATATTTAGTAATATTCAAAATAACTTGCTACGCTTTTAACTTATTTATAAATTTTCTTTCGTTGGCATTCAGTACTGGCTAAATACACATTTTTTCAAATCGCTTTAGCAGTATGTATGTATGTACTCGCATATGTAGATGAGCCAGGGAAAGTAAATTGATTTGCTTATTCAGTCGGGTAAGGGAACTACGGATAATATTGAGTTTGAAAGAATTGTTGGCGCTAAGAAAAAATTTAATTATGTGAATATACGTTGGAAAATTTAAACGTAGATGAAGGGATTTTTTCGCACTTGTGTCCCACAGAAAATGAGACAACTTTAAATTTTAATGCTTAGGATGCTAGATGATCGAACTCAGGAAATGTCGAAATTTGTAGCCCTTGCCCGGTTACACTATACTCCTTTCTCCATTCTCTCTTTGCTACATGTGTATGCATGTATATACATATGTATATAAAAATGAATAAGAAAACTTAGTCAGATTCGAAATTTTTAGCTGAGATTCTCTTTACATCTAGGCTGTATATTAATATTTTTTTTTTGCAAAACTTTACAAAATTTTTATACTAATTTCCTTGCGATTTTTTTTCTTACATAGGTACGTACATATTTTTTCACATACCTCTAGATACATATGTACATACATATAATATAAGATTTTTTCGTAATTACAACCTAAACTTGGTCAAGTAGACGTAAAATGAAAAATATCTCCAATCTGCTTTTCCTGCCAACAGATATGCAACTGGTTTACTTAACCACACCAAAACAAACAGCGCCAAAGCAAAGCTTTGTTGTTGTAATAAAAGGCATTACTTTGTTGTGTTTACACTGCACCTGACCCATTTCACCTTCAACCAACAGCCAAAGTTGTTATTATCATCTCGAATGGGCTGAGTTCTGTGAGTCTAGCGGGTATGAGTACTACGAAATTAGCAATAGTTGGCGATAGTTGTGTTGCACACATATACATGCATACATACATACACATATACATATGTACATATGCATAGAAACAAAATATACTCGTAGTAAAAAGTAGTATCTGCGGTTTGTACACTCATAAATAACTAAATATAAAAAAATTGTAATAAGAAATATTTTTTTTTTTGGCGAATAAGCGTTTGTTTTTGTAGTTAAAGTTATTGTGTATTTATTTAATAACGAAAAAAAAGTGGAAAATCCAAATTTCAGCATTTACATCAATACATACATAGACACATACACATGTACATGCATATGTATGTATGAGTATCAAGCCGAACCTAAGGTGGAAAATGCACTGAAACGAAATGAAAGTACAAATAACCTCAAATGATATCGCGCCAATAATTGCTGCATTTTATTTCACTCATTTCATTAAGTTTAGTGTCAAGTAAATACACTTTCATACCTATATTTTTACATATCTACACATGTACAGCGTGGCTCGAATAATAGCAATCGAAGTCAAAAATGATAGTCGGTTCTACACTACAAAGTTAACTGGATTCTTTCGAGCAACATCGAAATTATAGAAAGATAGATATGTTGAATGATCTGCCTCTGTGATCTTAGGTCCATTCTGCCCTCCGTACTTAATTTATCTAAGGCTGTACTCCTTCTAGATGTTTTTAACTAAATATATGTTTCATGTTTCTGTTAACTGTGGGCCAGATCACGCGGGCATTGAAGACAATGAGATAGCTGGCGAATTAGCTAAGGTGGAGAGTGTACTTTTAGAACAGGAAGAAGCGAAGCAAACTTAACGAGTAACTTTAAGACAGACGATTTTTGTTCTCAACGTTTATTGGATCATATTTTTTTGGGAAATGTGCTTGATGCACCCTGTACGCATAAAAAGCGTAGTACGACGCTAAAAGTCCAACGATAATACACATTGTCATCAGCACTCAATCTGGCTTGATATTTCGAGCACTTGATGCAGTCGGTTTTGGTTGGATGTCACTACACACGCATTATCCAAGAAGCGCCACTTGTATGGGCGAATAAGCAAGAAGTCAGCGTTTGCGTTTGGATCTGCGAAAGCAGCGTGAAACGCGTGGCTTAATCTCACAACTCACAACTGGTTTCTTCTTCTTTTTCTTCCAATACTACTACTGATCGCCGGTCTGGTTATGTTACTAATAAAATTGACTTTGTTATTGTTTTTGTCGTACGTCTTTGCTCTTTCTTTCAATCAGTAAGTATTTAAGATTTTGCTTTGCCTTTTTATCTCGCCGGCCGTCCGACCGACCGACCGACCGATCGACCGGCTTTTCGTCTTCTACGTTGCCTGCTTGTGCTTAGTTTCGCGTCGCGTTTCAATTCGAAGCTCGCGTCTTGACCGCGCCAACATTGTCCGGTTTTGGACTTGTGCCACACGAAGCGCCAGCCAGCAGTGCTGCGGTAGCCGTCGTTCGTAGAGTGAAAGTCTTGGCTAAAGAAAAAGTGGCAAAAAAACAACAACAAACAACTGAATACTGATGGTGCGGGGAAAGTGTTCGAGTTGAAATGTATAGCGACATATTTATTTGGCGCGGGAAGATGTTTTTTTTCAGCGAACGATGAAATTAATAAGCTCCCGAAAAGCTCGTTATTACTTTTTTTAGCATTTGTAATAAATATATTTTTTAAATATTTAAAAAATATTTTTATTTATGAGTATAATTTATATATTCCTATTTATTTATTTATTTATTTATTTTTTTATTTATTTAATTTTTCTAAAAAATTTCTGAAAATATTTTGAATCCAAATTAATTGATAAAATTTATTTAGAGAATTTACTATGAGCAGATGCGATAGCAAGATCAAAAGTAACAACAACAGAAATTTATGTTAGCGACCAACAGGTTTATGATTTAAATGCAATAACTGTATAAAAAAGTAAGCATTGCTGGTTAGGGCTGTGGGAGCGGAATGCACACAGTCTGCTATTTCTTCATGTTCACATATGTATGTACATATGTGCACATGCATGTGCTCTGCGTGTGTGTTAATATGTGTGTGTAGGCAGCACAGGCGAGTGGTGAAATCAGGTGTATGGAAATGCGTTGGAGGTGCTAAAGCAAAAACAACAATAAAAAGTGCATCGGCAAGTTGCACCACAAATATTTGCATACATATGTTTGTACTAATCTCAAAAAAACAATAAATACTGTATATTAAAAATAGAAATTTTACATTTCGACTTTTATTTATTTCGTTTTTTTTCCGAAAGCTCTCCTCATGACAGACTTAAAAAAATTTGAAAAATTTACATTTATTAGGGTTGCCCAAATTGAGCATGATTAATTAAGTAATCTAAGAAACATAAATCGTATTTTTAAATTTTTTCCCTAAAAATAGTAATATTTAAAAAATTAGTAAAGTAAAAATAATTTTATTTTATAAATTTTAAAAATACATTTTGTAACAATTAATAAATAGATTATTTTTTTACCTTTTTAACTGATTTGTTTTACAATTTTTTCGCGATAAAATTGTTTTTTTTTTTTTGTAATTGTGCAATGAGTGTAATTGGCGCTCGGCCTGTTGCTGCAATATGTTGTAATCACGCGGAAAATGCAAAGTGGACACGCCATACACAGTTTTATCTACAGTTACATATGTATGTATGTATTCAAATATATAGCATTTTTCGGTACAAATAGATACATCACCCCATTGCCCAACACAGTCACGTAAAAAAGTAGTGAAATGTGCAAAACTTACAACAACAACAACTACTACAACAACAACAACGATAAAATTTCTTCAATCTGGGAAATCCATTTTTCCTAGTCCCATTGCAACGCTGCTCAAGTCAGCTGCTTATAAAAAAGAGGACAACAAAAAGCAAAAGAGTGAAAAAGCATGTAAGAAGCGCGAAAAAAATTGCAACGTACAAATCGCTAGCAACACATCGTTTGTTGCCCATTGCTGCTGTGCACATTTCTCGGGTTATGCACCCGGTTGTGAGCAGCATCTTTTTTTGCAACTGTTGTTGTTGTGGAATTGTGGCATTTTTTGTAGGTCTGTGCGTAGATTTTTCGTTTTTGTTGTTTTCTATTTTTACTTTAGTTGTTGTCAATACGCTCGTTCGCTCGCTTGCTCCACGTAATGATCAGGTGAAAGAGCGTACTTCCGGTTTTTTGTCATTCGCACATATGCACATGTGTATATATATACATATGTACATTAATAGTGGCTACGGTTATTCCTATAATCAATGAATACAATTTTTTAATTGATTAAAATAATTAATTTCCTTTTTCATTAATAATTATTATTTTTTTTTTAAATTTGATTAATCACAAAATTTATTTCCAATAATTATTTAAAAAAATCAATATACAATAATAATATTTTAATAATGCAAATTTAGCCATTAAATTTAATTAATTAATCTTATTTAACTAAAAATGAAAATTGAAATGAAACTAAATTAATTTGCATAAAAATTTTAATTAATTCAATTTGAAGTTAAATTGAAAGTAAATTAAATGCGATGTTAAATAAAAATAACTTTCAGAATTTTTACTAGGAAATTTTAGTTTTGAGCATTCAAAATTGTTTTTTTTTACCAATGTTAGATTTTAATTTTTCTAATATAAATAATTTTGTTTAATCACAAAAATTAGTCAATTATTTGATTTTAATTAATTTTCTTATTCATAAAACTAAAA